GGCGGAGGCAGGGACGGTACCTCCATCCGCGCCGGCAGCTGAGCACCCGAAACTCTGCTGCGGTAACTTCTTACTTCTGTCCGACATTCAATCCATAAATTGTCATTTTTTAACAGAGTTTCCCTCTTCGGGTTTTTTATCGTAATTTTTCTTTCACTAGGGCGGTTGTCGACCAGGACTAACGAGCCCACCCTGCCCGGATCTTTTTGTAGAGGTTGAATCACTCTCACGGCCCGTGCAAGCGCCATGCTTGCACCGGCCCCGGCCCACAAACTGGGGTTACGGTATGTGACGCTTTACGCCCCCCTCGTGCAATGGGGGCACGACCGTTATGCCGGAGCACCGGCGTGCTAACGAGGCTGGCCAGGCCCCGGCTTTTTTATCGAGGTAATGCTCCTCTATCCCGGGGGTGTGTTTTCCAAAAACACACCTATCGAGTCCGGGCACCCGGGGGTTTGGAATCAGAGTCCCCGTCTCCTACCAGCGATTGGGATAGTACCCTCACAAAGTCGCTGGACTCCGCACGGCCCCTCCAAACGAGGGAACCGTGAACCTACCGGGGGGGTAGGGAAGTGAGAAATCGCCGACTCTCCCACCCCCCCAGCCCTACTTTGACGCATTAATAGCGCCCGGGCGCGGGGGACGTGGTCCGACTCGACCGCCCCCTCGGCCCCTCCTTCTCCTTGCCAGGGCGGAGGTTGAACCCCCCTCGCCCCGCCTCTCCCCTCTCGGCCTCCTCCTTTCGAGACATGACTGCCTCACAGAAGGAGGAGACCGCCTCTCAGACCCCTTCCCTCTCCAACATTCCCTTAATTAGAAAAGGGAGGGAGAGGTCTTTGCCAACCACTTCAACCAGGACTCGACGCTCCTCAGCCCACGCCGAGCAAACCTCGAGCGTGTGCTGCGCCGAGTCCCGGCCGGCCGCACAGTGGTGGCACCGCATGGTGTGCTCCTTACCGATTCGACACAGGTAGTCACCGAAGCAACCATGCCCGGTGAAAACCTGCGCCATTCGGAAAGAAATGCCTCCTCCCCTCCTGTCTACCCACTCCAGTAGACAGGGCTGGATGGCCCCGACGGTCCATAATCTAGACAAGCCCGGAGTGTTGTGTTCGCCCAGTCTGTGTTTCCACTTCCTGAGCGCCCACATCCGGGCTCTGGCCTTCTCTTTCGCCACTTCCCTGGGGATGTTCTTAGGGGAAATGCCGCTCCGTTCGACCTCCTTCGCGCACCGATAGGATTCGGCACGCGATTCGGCGACGAGGTCGAACGGGAGCACCCCGCCAGGGTCGTAGCCGCCACGTACGACACCGTCCGGTAGCACCGGGCGACTCTGATGGCCATGCGCCTGTCTGCCCCTTTGATAAGGGACAGGGCGTGTTTGTTGGCCATCAGGTCCTCTGCCCAAATCGGTGCCCCGTAGAGGGACACCGACCGGACGGTGTTTGTGTATAAGTGCCTTACTTTGGCACTTGGACCGCCAAGGTTGGGCAGGAGACGACTCAACGCGTTCGCCATCCTGTCCACTCTGGGAGCAAGGGCATTAAAATGCTGCGTAAACTCCCAGAGTCCATCCAGGGTGAGGCCAAGGTACTTCATCTTGGACCCCACAGAGATACGGGACCCTCCGACCTTGATGACTGTCGGGGGTGGTCTCCCATCTGTCTTCCTATGGAAGAACAGTGCTTCCGTCTTCAAGGGAGCCACCTCTAATCCCAGGACCCGTATTGCGCACACCACGCTGGCCACGGCTACGTTCGATGCAGCCGCGGCCTCCCACCAATCCTCCCCCCGTGCCATGACTAAGGTGTCGTCCGCATAGCAAACGATGTCACAGCCCGGAGAGAGGGCCGTCCGGAGCACCACGTCGTACCCGAGATTCCACAGCATCGGGCCCAAAACAGACCTCTGTGGAACCCCGCGGTACATCCTCCTTTCGCACACCGTGCCGTTGCCATTCGTGTATGCAAATAACCTGTCTCTAAGGTAGTCCCAGAGGACTGCCTGGAGATATGGGGGCAGCTGGAAGTAATCAAAGGCTGCCCCCAGACAGTCCCAAGAGAGGGAGTTAAAGGCGTTCACAATGTCAAGTGACACCGCCATTACCACCTCTCCCCCTCCAGCGCGGCATCCGAGAAGGAGCGCACGTGACGTATAGCGTCTACCGTGCCGCGTCCCTCCCGGAAACCGTACTGCTTATCGCTCAACATGGGACCACCCTGAGACAGGTGCTGGACGAGGCGCCCAACGATGATTCGCTCAAAGAAATTTCCTGCCTCGTCCAGCAAACATATCGGCCGGTATGCGGAGGGATGCTCCGTCGGCTTACCATCCTTGTGGAGGAGGACCAGATTGGCCCTCCTCCACCGCGAGGGGAAAGTGCCGAACCTGAGGCAAGCGGTAAACAGCCGCCCCATCCGGTCACTCAGCACCCTTGCGGCCAGGGCCTAGGCCCTGCCGGGTATTCCGTCGGGTCCTGGTGCTTTAGCGGCACCACCAAGCCTAGCCCGCACCGCGGTCATTTCGTCCACCGAGACTGCCGGTTCCTCGGGCCACGTCTCCCCGATCGTAGGGGGAGGAATGTTTATCTCTCCCACGGGGAACAACGTGTCTATAACGTTCCCGAGGATTGCCGGCTTTAGTCTTTCCGCAGTGAGGGGCGCCCTTGGTCTCAGCTTCCTGAGCACCAGTCTAAAGGGTCGCCCCCACGGATCCCGGTCCAGGGTGGAGGTCAGCTCCTCCCAAGCCCTGGCCTTCTCCTTCCTGATGGCGGCTCGCAGGGCGTTTCGTGCGGCACGAAACCCCTCCAGAGCTTCCGTCATTCTAGTGTGGTCCCCCCTTCTGCGCACGCGCAGGAATATACGTCTGGCGGCCGAGGAGGAACGCCTAAGATCGGCGATCTCCTCGGTCCACCAGTACATCGCCTTACCAGGGGACCATTTGGATCGCGGCATAGACGCTTCACACGCGTCATTAACCATGCTCACGATCCTCGTGGCCTCTTCATCCAGGTCCACGACCTGGCCGGATGGTATTGGCCAGGTTTTCACCAGAATGACCGCCATCAGGATGTCCTCATTTAACTTTCTGAGGACCCATGCTTTTCGGGTGTTACGCCGACGACGGCTGAGCTGTCCGGTGGGGGTGGTCGAGGCCTCGATCACAATGTACCTGTGATCGGACCCCGATTCCAGGTCTTCGTCCACCAACCAACCCGAGACCCTGCGCGCGGCAGACGGGGAAGCCCACGTGAGATCCACAATGGACTCCCCCCCGGTACGCACGCAGGTGCTCCTCGAACCTGTGTTCAGGACGCACAGGCCGAGTGCCGCCGCCCAGTCCACCAACTCCCCACCCTTCCCGTTGGTTTGCGAGGAACCCCATAACGTGGACCACGCGTTGAAGTCACCCGCGACTATTGTGGGCCGGGGGAGGCATCTGCGTACGCAGTCCCCCAGCTCCGATAGAAAGATTTTAAAGGCGGGGAGCTTCCAATTAGGTGGGGCGTAACACCCCAGGACGAACCAGTCCCCCCACTCGACTACCACAAAACCGGGCCCGTCTCCTATCTTGGAGCACGGGCGGGAGTCCTTCGGGGGTCTCCAAAAAATGGCGACCCTTTTTTTCGTTGGGTCTGTGAACCAATTGGGGTGGTCCTCCAGTATTCGGTACGGTTCGGAGACCACCCCCAGCTCGAACCCACCCTCCGCCATGTTTTGATGGAAGAGATTTATTGCCATGGCGGAGTGGTTCACGTTCACTTGGAGGATCCTGGTAGACGAGAATTGGCCTACTCAGAATCCTCCAGATTGAAGCATGGGACCTCCTTCTCCTATGCCGCTGCTGTTGTTGTTGCAGCTCTTGTTGCGCGCTCTCTCCTTCGCTGCGCGTGGCCCACCGTCGGTCTCTGCTCCAGCGGCGCTCCGGCCGTCTTCCAGGTAGGGGACACATCCTCCTGATATTCGGATGGGGCTTCCTTTTGGTCGGGTGTATGGATCGCCCCCCCTACCGTCCCTTCCACTTCCTCCTTTACCCCCCACGCGGTGGCGGACGCGGGTCCCCAGTCCGCGCCCGTTATTCCCACCTTCTTTCCTATCTCGCCTGCGGGAGTGGACGCGGGTTCCAAGGCCGCGCCCACCAGCTCCGCCTCTTTTTCCGTCCCACCTGCGGCGTTGAACCCTGTGGTCCTTGCCGCACTCGTCACCCCCTCCTCATCCATCTCAATCTCTGGGGTAGGAGTGGGCGTGGGTGCCAAGGCCACGCCCAATTGTCCTATTACCTCCACCTCCATCCTAGTAGGAGACACTGGGGCAGTCGCCGGGGCCAGAGTCGCCCCCGTTCTTTCCTCCTTCCTCGTCTTCTTCCCCGTTTTTTGGGAGACTTCGGTGTGGGCGCGGAAGCCGAGGCCGTTCCCTCCGCCCCACCCTTTCCCGTTTTCCCCCCGCTCTTGGGGGCCTTACAGGCCGTGCTCTTCACCCTATGCATATGAGGGAGCCCCTTGTCTCTGCATACGGGGCAGCTCGCCAGTTTATCGCAGCCTCTCGCGACGTGTTCCTTTGCGCCGCACCTGTAGCAGGCCTCGCTCCAGTCCACAGTGCTCGTGCAATGAATCCGCACGTGACCTTCCTCCAGGCACCTGTAGCACTGTAGGGGCCTCTCATCCAATAGTGAGACCCCTACCATCGCCCACCCCACCTTAATGCGGCCCTCCCTCGCGATCTTGGTCGTCACCTTGAGGAGGCACCTCACCCAGCATAAGCCCTTCCCGTTTCCCCCAGCGGGTATCCGTATAGGCCCGGCCTTGACCTGGGTGGGGGGGCACCCACCCATCTTGGCCACCGCAGCCTCCACATCCTCCGTCTCCAGGGACTCATCGAGTTCACGTACCCGCAGTTCCCCCATTTTCAGCGGTCTCACCACCCTGATCTCTTCCCTCCCTTGGAAAATTTTCCTCAGGGCCTCGGCCAGAGCATCAGCCTTTTTCTCACTATTCGGGCCCGGTATCTCCAGGATGGTAGCCCCCGTCCTGGTTTTCCCGGGCTTCAAATAGTCCATCTCGAGATCCCCAAGGCTGATCCCGCTCCTCGCTTCCCTCATGATCCGAGAGTTCTCCCCCTGCGTGCATGTAACGGTAACAGCCGCCATGCTGGGGAATCTCCGGACCCTTTGGGTTTTCGAGGAAGCGGTTTGGCCCGAGGCCCTTCCCTTTTCCTTCATTCCAGTGGCCAGCACCTTGGCCCCCTGTTCTGTTTTCCCCTTCCTTCCTTTCTTCCCTGCCACCTCCGATCATTTTGTGGTGTCCTGATGAGGACTCTGCGCGTACTGCTGCTGCCGTTGTTGAGGGAAAAAAGGCCTCTCTTCTCTTGCAATCGGCGGCTTGGCAGGGATTGCAGCTGCTTCTCCCCCAGTCCGACCCGGACGTGGGGTTTCCTTAGAGGGGGCGGCGGCAGGAGGGGGGACGGCTTCGGCCTTTTTCCGCCTCTCGCCTCCCCCTTTTTCTCCCCTGGAGGGGGAAACCCCTTCCCCGTTGTCGTGGCTGGGCGTGGGACCAACCCCAGCCTGACCAGGAATGCCTGCGTGATCTCCTCCATCATTTCAGGCATTATCCTTCTAATCTCATCCTCCCCGAAACCTAATTGGGGGGGAGGAGCATTTCCTTTTCCTATCTTTAGTTGCCCAGCCCTTCGTTCCCGCCTGGGCGGCTGGGCTGGCCCTCTGTCTTCCCCCCTCCCAATCTGGCCCAAAACTAAGCTGATCGGAGGCGGGCCAGCAGCCTGAGTAGTGACTGGGGGAGGGTGGGTTGCCATCCTCCTTTCCAGCTCCTCCACCGCCTTCTTCAGCCTTCTATTTTTTTCCCTCAGTTCCTCCACCTCCTTTCGGAGAGCGTTGTGCCTCCTCAGGTAGTCCTTATCTGGGGTGATTACCTCCTTCCTCCTGACCTTATTCGGCCTTCTCTCGGTCCCGCCGCCGGCCATCCCCCTTTGGTTATGGGCGTTATTCCCACCTCTCCAGGTCCTTCCATCATTTTACCCCTCGGGGTTCTGAAGGGTGACCCCTCCTCGCACTCACTCGAAGAGGCAATCTCTCTCCCTCTCTTCGTGTTGGCTGGGTCGGAATCTCCGCTGGCCATGCTCGCCTTAGAGTCCCTTCTCATCCGGGCGACATTAGTTTTGTCGGCCACCGTGTACTGGCCGGCAATTACTCCCCTTCCCTCACCCATTTCCTTCCGTGTCCTTGCAGCGACCTCTTGGATAGCCATGTTGTCGTCCTCAATTTGTCCGTCCTTTGTGTTTTGTTTTTTTGTTTGTGTATGTCTTTCCATCTTTGTCCCACGAGAATGGTAGAAAATACACGTCCATCCCGGCAGAGTCTCCTTACCGGGATAAGGCGACTAATATACTGTGGGGTTGCGCCAGGTGCCCCACAGGGATCGTTTACGACCGCACATTTTTAGAGTCTCTGCGGCCATTCAGCCCTCGGCACGATGCCTTCCACCTTGGCTTAAGACTTCCGCGCTATTGCCCCGGACTCGACACACCAATCGGCGCGAACGCCTTACGGGCCTTCAAAAAAGAAATTGGCCCGCTCGGCGCACGCCTTCGACCGGCCAGCGGGGAGACCCGCCTCGCCATCCGCCCGCATGAGACCCGACATGCGGCGGGTCAAAAGCAACGGACCGCCCCGAAAGCGCGCCGCCGAGTAGAATGCGGATTCCCCCGAGCGACGCGTCCCAACACGACCGCCGCCCCCTCACCACCACATGCCGGCCCACAAGAGGACCACAGGTCCCCACTCGAGCGGGCGTGAATGTGGTGAGTTGTGTGTATGTGTATGAAAATGGTGTGTGTGTGCGTGTATGATAGGTGAGTGATTGTGTGTGAGTATGCACAGCGGAAAGCGGCAACCCACGCATCACCATTATGCGCGGGTGTCCCCCGCCGAATGCATGCATGGCCCCCGGCTTCCGAGCATCTTCGCACCAGTGAAGGCGCCCAGACAGCCCGGGGACCAAGAATGTGTGTGTGTGTGATTGTGTGTGTATGTGTGTGTGAATGGTCGCGCGGGGAGGGACGACCCCCGGCCGAGCGCGACGAGTCCGGGTACAACCGGGGAGGAGAGCAGCGTACCTTCCCCCCGCCAGTCCTGTGGTTTGATTTCGGAGTGTCCGTCTCCTAGGCCGACTGCCCACACAGGGCTAACAAGCTCGGCCTGCCCGGCTCTTTTTATAGAGGTTTTACCACCCTCGCGGCCTGTCCTAGCTAAGCTAGCACCGGCCCCCGGCCCCATTAACTGGGGTTACGGTGTGAGTCGCCACGCCCCCCCACGTGCCATGGGGGGCTCGACCGTTGTGCCGAAACATCGGCGTGCTAACGAGGCTGGTCAGGCCCCGGCTTTTATCAAGGTAATGCTCCTCTATCCTGGTGGAGTGAATCACTCCTAACGGATCCAGGGCCCTCCGGGGCGATTGAAGTCAGGGCCGCCAACCCCTACCGGCTAATCGGGACGAGTCCCTTGAAGGGTAGCCGGACCCCGTCCCC